AAAATAGTTGCTTTAAAAATATGAATAAAATTGAAATTGTAGACGATAAAAAATCATACCAGTGAAAATTTTAGACAAGACTATTGACAAGATTATCTCTGATGAATTAAAAAATATGGATAAATTCATATCAAATAAACTTTTTTCCGATGTTATTCACCTTATCTCTAATGATAACTCAAGATGGAAAATACAAACAAGACATGAAATTTGTAGGTTTTAATACCAAAACTTTTGTGAATTTCTTCGCTGGAGTGGATGAAAAATCAGATGCCTCCGATTGGTATTTCACAGGAAAAATCATTTTCCGTAAAAACAATTTCAAAGAAATAAAAAGATCAAAAAAGGGTAGTGGTGTTAGCCTACTCAAAAAGATAAAAGAATATATCGGTATAAATTGTTATATACCGAGCGATGGATGCTGCTTTGTAAAGTGCGTAAATTATGTTTTGAACAAAGACTACACGAGAGAATTTCAAGATTTCATCAACAGTTTTCAAAAATCAAACAGAAAAGGAGTTATGACATCTGCTAGAATTTGCGAATTCAATAAGAAATTTAATACTAATTTTCAAATATATATGCCCAAACATAGACATTTTCAACCAAAGAAAGTAACCGAAGAATTAGATTGGGTTTTTTATATACACATAGAACATTTCTGTTTGATAAGAAGAAATAACAAAGCTTTGGGCATTAAAGAAATAGAAGATAATTACGATGAAAACGTATGGAGAACTTGTGAAGATGATAATGCGGTAACGCAAGTTTCACTTCTAAAACTAAACGTTTTTCCAACCATTCCCGATTATTGTTTATACGCATGGGATTGCGAAACCTATTGCGAAAAAGAAACGAATAAAGCCATTCCTTATTGTTGTACTTTAGTCAATTTGGAAAAACTGAGGAAAAGATTAGATGATTATAATAATTACTTACGTGATTTAAGTGATTTAAATGAGACTCTAGATTTTAAGCCGTCAGATCCCATTTCAGAAGAATTTTACAACAAACTCATGACTAATATAGTAGAAATATTTGTAGGTACAGATTGTATAGATCAAATGTTACAACGTTTAGGAAAAGTAGATGAGAAAAGACTAACCTTAATTTCCCATAACGGCAGTGGTTTTGATAACTGGATCATGATCAAAAACGTAAAAAAACTAACACAATGCCCTTTAAAAACAGCTAGAGGAATTCTGTCTCTACCTTTAACTAATTCATTCACTGATGAATATTTACAGAAAAAATGGAAAAGACAGAAAGAAATAAAGGGTAACTCTAATTATTTGCAAAATATTAATTTCACATATTCCTATCAACACGAATCATCTAGTTTGGCAGCATGGGGAAAATCATCTAATCTACCAATGAATTTGAGAAAAATCGAGGATGTTAATATTGCAAAATACACTAAAGATAATTGGGAATCTTTAAGACCCGAATGGGAACCTTACGCTTAAAGAGATACGTTATGTCTCGGAGCTTGTTTGATAAAATACAATCAAGCCATGAAAAAAACTGTCTTCCAAAACGTTTCCAATAATCTAACGGCTCCTTCTTTATCTTTAAAGGGTTGGTATTATTTATATCATTACGATAAAGAAATGGTTGAAGAAGAATGGTATGAAAGTACTAGAATGGTTCCGAAACATACGGAAAAACAAAACGTAGAAAAAGTTTACTCGCATATTCACCCTTTTATAAGATATTTTATCAGACAAAGTATTAAAGGAGGAAGAGTTTCGGCAAATCGAAAATCATTTGAAACGGATAAAATGGATGAGATCTGCGCCATATTAAAAGAATACAATGAAAGTGACACTGAAGGAATAATAGATTTATTCAAAGAATACAGTGTTAAATTAAATGAAGCTGGGTTGGTGTCTGAAAACGAATATAGCAAAGGGAAGAATGATTACGGTGATGGTGGAATCATATTTGGTTTATATTTAGCGCCAAAAGTAAAATACAATATCATTCTAACTTCCGATGGTGTTTTAAAAGAAAAGAAAACGTTTAAGGGTTACTCTAACTATAAGATTAAGGTAGAAGACTACATTCAATTAGCTAGTGGACATGACGTAACGAATGAATTTAAGAAACCTTGGGTAAAAAGTTGTACTGATGGAATAATTATTCCTAATGAAAAACAAAAGAAAGTTTTCAGAAGTTATCTGAATCTCGTTAAGAGAAAAGCACCAAACAGTGAAGGAATTATGTATCCTTACAACAATAAAGATGAGATGTGTTTGGATGAAAACTATGAATTTGATGATTTCGATTATCTAACTATTCAAGAAGAGAATGAAGAGTGTTAATTTTTTTGTTTTAAATGAAGTTGAATAACAATTTCCTCGTTACCAAAATCTATAAACCTATTTTTACCATCGTTGATTTCCAGATTTATATCTTTAATCATAAAGGAATTAAGTGGTAAATACGTCGTTTGAAATGGTTTCTCTATAATTCTATATCCAATAGGAACAGTGAATGTTGGAAGGCTGTAAATAATCTGAAGTTTGTATTTATTGAAAAATCCACCGTTTATTAAATTACAATGTATATTTATCACATCGATATCATTCTCGGTATTAGCTTTGTGTGGTGCTAAAGTGGATTGGGTGTATATTTTTTTATCAAAGCCTAGTAACGTATTCAATGAATTTTCTACGTTGAAATCAACTTGACTATTATTTCTTAATATCAATTTTATTTTGTTTAGATTCAAATTACCTTCGAATTCGATATTGTTTTTACCATTGACGCTTCCTGCATATTCGGATAAGTATTCGTTAATGGCTATGTATTCATAGCTTCCTGGTAGTAAACGTATGGTTTTGAATGTAACTCCATTATCTGTTGATATTTTTATTTGGTTATTTTTTTCGTTGGTATTTCTAATAGAATTGTAAACAGAGAAATACTTTAATCCCAATTCATATTCTTGATTGCGATCGAGTTCGTACTCATAATCTAGAGATAATTTAATGTCTGATTTATTCGAGGTGATGACGAATAGTTGTTTTTTATTTGACATTTTTAATCACGCTTTTATAATCGTTTTTATCTATGATACCTTTCTCTAGGAGTCTTTTTAATATACAATTCACTTCATTAAATTGTCTGTTTGATCGAGGTCCTCCCTTCATTGCCGCTAATATTAATCGTAATCTATTAAGCAATTCTTCGTTGTTGTCGGATAAAAACGTTATACCTTGTCCAGATACCATATCTTCGAATTCGTCTATTTCTTCTATGATTGATGGATAATCATCTGCATAATCATCTGAATCCTCTTCATCAGGAATAACTTTATTCAAATATGTTTCAACTGCTTTCAATCTTCTTGTTTCGGGTCCTGACTTTCTTATTGCATCTAGAAATTTGGAGTATGCTAGTAAATCCTTGTAATCGGCAATACCAATATACCCGCCATTCATTAAATCTATTAATCCTGTCGTTAATGTAAATATTAAGTTTTTTGTGTCGATTTTGAATATAGGGGAATTTGCCCTAAATTTAATTCTAAATCCATTAAACAATAACCCCTCATCATCAATGATTGGTGTAATACTCTTTGGTAAATCTGCTTTAAGGTTTGAAAAAAGACGATTTATATCATCTAATGTCCTAATTATGATTTCATCATCTTTAATGGGATATTCTATTTGATGAGGTTCTATAGGAGGGATGAGTCTCTTTTTAATATCCTCTTGAGATTGTAATATTGGTTGAAATAGAGTTTGTAGATTTTCCGTTAATCCGAGTTGTTGTAATCTGTTATTTTCAACTTGGGTCTTTATTTTATTCTTAGCTTTGATATATTTTCTATTTCTTTTTAAAATATTATTCCAATCCATTTTTAAAAAAATAAAATTAACATATATCGTTCATAACTCTTTCACCCGCAGGTTTTCTAGTATTTACAAATACATATCCATGATCATCTGGATATCTCCATTGAGCTTTACAAACCTTTTTAAATGCATCTCTGTCCATTCCGTGATTTATCGATTGAACGATTTGAGATAAATCTTTGTCGTTTAATTCAAATAATAAAAACAATTTGCATTTTTTCTAATGAACATAGAATCTATCCCGTAAAAAGATTGGGATTGGTATATGCAGTGACAGATGTGATGTCTTCCTTTCGTGAAGAATTCTTGTTGATTTCTTTGCGCCACGCAGTCGTCAAACAACATTAAGTTCTTTCGCTCGCTATCAATTTGAGACAAATCTAGATCATTAACATTTTTCGTAAGAAAAACTTTTATATCCGTTGGTTTCTTTCCTTCGATGTAGTTATCTATGAAATCTTTCAATTCCACTTCTTCTTCATTTTCTTTGTAATATTGAAATAGGTCTTGAACATCTCTCTTTGGTAGATATTCTAAAGTTTTGAGAAATTGATAATACGATTGCTCTGGTGTTGTTGTGTATATATACAAAGAATCGAAATCTAAAAGGCTTGGTGTTGTCAACATGTTAAAAGTGAGATGAGTTTTCCCAGAACCGGAACTACCGCATATACACATGAGCATTGGGTTATTAGGAAATATTTCTGAATGATTAAATTTTTTACCCATTTTTTATTATTTTAATTTGTTCCAAAAATCACTCCTTCTCCTTTATACTTCGAAAGATATATTCCTTCTCCAGTGCGTATATTTTTTAAAAATATTCCATTACCCTTATGTTTGACTTTGATTTCTCCCGTGTCAATACTATCTACTAATTTATTTAATCCTTGTTTAACAGTTTTCTTGGTTTCTTCACTAAATCTTTTTCCAAATTCTTTCATTGTGCCTATCATTTCTCCCACTCCTGAACCTTTCTTTTCCGTTTTAGGTTTTTCAATCTCTGCTGCCAACTTTTCCATTTTTAAATTATGTCTACGTTGTTCGGCTGCGTTCTTTTTGTTGGCAGCTTTTGTAGCAGCAACTTCTGCAATAGCAGCTTTCTTTGCGTTGGCAGTTTTTATTCCACCAGCTGTAGCACCAGCCACTGTAGCCGCCGCGGTAATACCAGCAAATATTAAAGGTAGAGAAAATATAAATCCACCTTCTTTTGCGTTCGCGTCAATTCTTTCTAAATCTATATCGTCTCTGACTTTACAATTTTTGTATTTATCAATAAGTCTTTTAGTTATGCTGATTTTTTTACCATTATAAGTTATTGTAGTTGGTGAAGCTGTTTCAATAGCTTCTATTATTTTCATAACTAAAGTTTCTGGTTTCATTGTTTGTGGAACTTGATTCTGAGTGGCTTCTTTAATTTTGAAATCGCATCTGAAATAAGCATCGGAAAGAAGCAACCAATTCGATAATGAATTTATTTCGAAGGTAATTCTACCACCATCATTCAATTGGGATTTAGAACCAACAGTGGGTGAGCTGATAATATAATCCTCTTTTTTCTTGTTAAACGAATAACGAATTGGATCGTATAATCTAAAGATTGGATCTAGTATTTCATTTGCCATTTTTAAGGTTTAAAATTTGCTTTTTTTGATGGAATGTAGGAAATTGATTGAAGGTGTTTTTAGTGTATGAAATGTAGGGGGTGTAAGAATTTATGAAATGTAGGGAATTTAGGTCTTTTGTTGTAAGAATTTATGAAATGTAGGATGTTTAGGTCTTTATGGGAGTTCATAGATTGATTGGATTTTCCCATGAAATGAAAAAAGGGGAATTCCCATGAAAAGGGGAAAACCATGAAAAGGGGAATCCCTATGCGACCAATCCGAGCGAACAAATTGAAAGCTCATATACTACTGACCTACATTACGACACAGCTACATTTTTCGTGGTATTCGGCAACATGTGATCGCTTTCGGTTGTAAAGAGACGCCCCAGTACCTTTCTATTGTGAAATTTGATTGGTTGGAGAGGTTCTACAGTTAGGTCGTTGATTGGTTGATACTTTTCCAATGCATATAGCGTGTTGTCTTTTATTAGCTGATTATGAGGCCTTAAGCAGCTAATATCTGCCTTGTACAAGACACAAGACATCTTGTGTTACTGATTAAATCAGGCTAACATTTACTAATAAATTCTGTTAGAACCAGCTAACTTTAAAGGAACGGGTGACATTTTTGATAACTCACGGGTCTATTATTATTTCCCCATGTCTTCTCCTGGAAGAATTTTAGGGAAATAAGGCTACCGTTCATAATTTTCGCTGTCATGTCTCTGAAAGAACTATGATGTCTGCCGAGGACTTCACCTTGAAATTTCATGGTTTACCGAGGATTAGCCTTTTTAACCGCTTTAGGCACGAGTATTCCATATATTGCCAAGCTTATCTTATGCCAATATGAAAAAAAGAGCGCATTCAGATTAAAAAAAAAGTGTGGGAATATTTCTGGGCTGAAATCTGAAATGAAATGAAATGAATGGGGTTTTACGTCCTACTTTTCTGCTCCATGTGGGCTAATGAAGACGGGCGACGCCATGCAGGGTGCAATGAGGGAAATTTTGCCAGGACAGCGGCATTAGCCTGCTCTTTTTCGATTTCCAACTGTCGAGGGATCTTTAACGTGCACAGCCTGTAGCACACGGGGCCTCGGTTTATTGTCCCATCCGAACGACTAGGCGCTTTTTCCATGTCAGCCCCTCGTACCTGCATCACTGACAGGGGGAAACCGGGTTGAAAAATCCGAAGGTATTATCTCGACCTATGCCGGGATTGAACCCTAGACCTTCAGGTTAGCGAGCAAGCGTCTAACTCACTGAGCCACCGCGGCTCCCTACATCGCCGCCACTGATCAATGATGACTTAAGTAATCTATTTGATACTGCACCGTAGTTTATTACATTTATGGCTGATGGGGTATTACATTTATGGTGGGTTTTGGTTATTACCATTATGGTTAAATATTATTACCTTTATGGTTAAATATTATTACATTTATGGTTAAATATTATTACATTTATGGTTAAATATTATTACATTTATGGTGGGGTTGGTTATTACATTTATGAGCTCGTATATTGGCGTCACATTCGTCTGAGTGTNTGCAATCACCCATAGA